CAGTGTAAGACATGAAAAAATAAATTATCAAGGATTCATGAGGGAGGGAGGGAGAGTGAGGAGGGTGGGAAAAAATGAGGAGCTGATACCAAGGGCTCAAGTAGAAAGAAAATGCTTTGAAAATGATGTACAAATGTGCTTGACACAATGTACAACATATGACCAATGTACAATATATGTACAAATGTGCTTGACACAATGTACAACATATATACAATGTGCAACATATGTACAAATGTTCTCAACACTGGATGGATGGATGGATGGATGGACGGACGGACGGATGGATGGATTATAAGAGCTGTAATTGCCCCAAATAGAATGATTTCTAATGAATAAATAAATAAATAAAAACAGTTACAGTCTTGGAAGTTCCCAGGGGCATTTCTACTCTGTTCTACAGGGTCACTATGAGTTACCATTGACTCAATGGCAGTTATCAAGTCAAGTATACTACAGTTGAATATAATACAAAAAGTGAACCTGTGTGTAAACTGTGCCCTTCAAAAAATATTAACACATCAAGATTGGTTCATCAGTTGTAATATATATATTTATTACACATTATCCAAGATGTTAATAGGGGGAACTAGGTGTGTGTGTGGGGGGGGGGTTGGGGGAATGGATGGAGATAAGATAAATCTCTGTACTATCAGCTCAATATTTCCCTAAACCTAAAACTAGTGTAAAACTACTATTAATAAAGATATAAAACTCAAACTCACGGTCATCCAGTCAATTCTGACTCATAAAGACCCTGTAAGACAAGGTAGAACCGCAAGAAAGCCTCATCTTTCTTCCCTGGAGTAGCTGGTGGTTTCCAACTGCTGACCTTGTGGTTAGCAAGCTCAATGCATAACTACTATGTCACCAGAACTTTTGGTAATAAAGAGTATATATATATGTACAGTATATATATAACCCTATAAGTCAGATTAAAATGTTTTTTATTATAACGTATCATTCTCTTCTGTGTCAATGACAATTAAACATCAAATCTTTTAGAAGTCGAATTTCAGTGCTTTTGAAACTGAATGGCTAATTTAGAGAAGAACAAAATGTTTGCTTTGGGGATGCAATAATTTTAACATTGGTTCAAAACTGTATAAATACTGGTTACCCTGCATGGCAATTTATGTCAGCAGCATAAAAACTCTGCCTTTGTTAAAAACTTACATCCTTGGTCACAAAGTACTTTGCTGATAGAGCTTTTAAACTGATCTATACATATTATTTTTAAATACATCTGAAGTAAAGAAAAAGAGAAGCCTTATTCCGTGAGGAATGAACACATCAAATCCATAAAATAAACTAGAGAGTGGGGAAACAAAATATTCCCTTATAGTGGTTCTTGTGAGACACAGAGCAAAGAGATGGAAGATGCATCAGAGAATTAACAAGCACACATGCTCTACAAGGAGATTCTGCCAAGGATCTCTTACCCTTTTGCTAGATTTTAACAACAAAATGACTTGCAAAGTTGAAAACGAACAACCCAATTGCTCATATCCAAAAAGTGACGTCAAAAACATAAATCTAGATCTGGATTATGACCAAAGAAAACAGCATTTTAACTACATGCAATATTGTAGTCATATTGTGCCAATTCTAACTGCATGATTATAATTAGAGAGTGAGAGGAAGACTCGCTTAACTATTCTTCTTGGCTTTCATTACTTTACTATTTTATATATTAAATTAGTGTCCACAAAAGGTTAACTCAAAATTTACCACAGGACACCCTGACATTTACTATTGATTTGAGGTTTTTGGAGTGGTTGCCTTATAAGTGGTTCAAATGAAAATCCATTTAAGGTCGCCTTGTTCTTTACTTCTAATTAATTATTACATTTACTAAAACAGACTTGTAATTGCTGTTGGTATAGTATAGTATAGTATAGTATAGTATAGTATAGTATAGTATAGTATAGTATAGTATAACCAAAGATGTAAACTGGATTTTAAATGTTCATAATTTTGTTTCAGAACATGGACAAGCCTTATTAACTAGGTAGAAGCTTATTGCAACAAAGTAAATAGAATATCACATTATAAGTTATATTACATCTTTTGCACTGATAAGAGACATTGTACACTGCATGCTTTAAAAATCTGTTAAAAACTGTATACAAAAGAATTTCAAAAAAAACAAACAAAAAAAGAATTTCCATAAAAAATATTCTTCATTTATATTAAAACAAAAAGCAAACTAGCTAATAATAGAAAAAGTATAAATCAAAGAGATACAGCTATAATTACTCAAAAAGCTATGCAGATGCAGATTTAAGGACATAAAAAGTCGTTCATGAAAACCAACAACTTGTAAATATAATAATCCTGTGTTGTTATAAAATAGAAAAACAGTGGAAAGATAAACATCCTTCTAATCTTTGAAGTTATCACATATAAACTAAGTCATAAGTAAGAACCAATGTGATTTAGGGATAAGATGCCCAGAAATCCTCCCTTAGGCTTTTTTATTTAATTAGTGTTAAAAGTTGCTTCAGAGTAAATAAGGAAATGCAAAAATGAAAAAGGGTTCACCTTTTGTTCTTCTATTAAATTGTAACTGCAAACCTGGTTAGACCAGAGGATGCACAGCGGTACAGATGGGAACTGGAAACACAGGGAATCCAGGACAGATGAACCCCTCAGGCCCAGCGGTGAGAGTGGCGATACTGGGAGGGAAGGGGGCCTAGAAATGGGGAACCGATCACAAGGATCTACATATAACCTCCTCCCTGGGGGATAGGCAACAGAAAAGCAGGTGAAGGGAGATGCCCAGCAGTGTAAGATAAGATAAAAAAATAATTTATAAATTATTAAGGGTTCATAAGGGAGGGGGAAGTGGGGAGGGAGGGGGAGGGAAAAAGGAAAATGAGGAACTGATTCCAGGAACCCAAGCAGAAATCGAATTTGAGGATGAGGACAACGAATGTATAAGTGTGCTTTACACAACTGATGTATGTATGGATTGTGATAAGAGTTGTATGAGCCCCGATAAAATGATTTTTAAAAATTTGTAACTGCTTCAGGATAATTCTTATAATTTCTCAATTGTAGGTGGTCAGAAGTGTCTGACATTACAACAGCAGGAAACACTGCCTAGTCCTATGCTATACTCATTGCTGTATTTTAGCTCCTGTAAACACTGACGGTCTACCTCATTGAGGATCTTCCTCTTTTTTGGCTAACCCTCTTCTTTACCAAGCATGATGTCTTTCTCCAGGGACTCATCCCTTCTGACAGCATGTCCAAAGTAAGTAAGAACAATGTCTCACCATGGAGCATTCTGGCTGTACTTGTTCCAAGACGGATTTATTAGTTCTTTTGATAATTCACAATATGTTCAATATTTTTTCACCAACACCATAATTCAGAAGCACCAACTCTTCTTTGGTCATTCTTAGCCATTGTACAGCTTTTGAATGCATACAAGGCTACTAAAAATATCATGGCTTAGGTCAGAAGCATCTTAGTCCTCACAGTGACATCGGAGTGAAGTATACAAATACACATTCTCACATCTTTAGCAAAAGAGCCTCTGGTAACATGATCAACTAAATTTCTTGACTGTTTCATCTGTGATTGTCTGAACCCAACACTGAAGATGACTTACTATCAGAAAAAGAATTACAATAAAGACAAGACTACAATCTCAGTTCCAGAAATGAGTCCCTTAGTCCTGGGTCACTTTAGGAGTAGAAATGCTAATTAGCACAGGAATCTTGAATCTGGCATTTTACTCCACTTTTGGCAAGAAACTGAGTACTTGGTTGTTGGTTAGAACTGTCTTGTTTTCAAGTTCAGTGTCAGAACATAAATCCCATACATTATAGAATATACAGAATATAATTGAAATAGAGTACCACTAAATAGACATGTAGTTGTACTATATATATATATTATATATATATATATATATATTACATATATGTAGTAACCTACCACAATTAACCCCAATGTAACCATAATGTATTAGTTAAGTGTAGCCGTTTTGTTGTTGTATCCACTTTGTATTGACCCAAGTGTGGCTACTTTGCAACTACTGTAATTCCTTCTGTAACTGCTGACACATTGCCATTTATTTTTGAAATTGCTGAGGTTGCTTATAAGCCCCCATTTTATTTTTACAAATTCTCATTTTTTCATATATTATGACACCACCTGCCTTGTGCCTTGTTTATTCCACAGTATAAAAACTCCCCTCTTTAAGCATTCAAGGTCAAAGGAGAATTAGGCTCTAGCCACCCTTGACCACCGTCTAATAAAGACTTATTAACTTTAATTAAAGTTGCATGTGGGTTAATTGATCTCGCTCCAGTACGACATTTCTCCCTTCCTCCTTCCCCTCCAAATAATTAACTCACATGAACAAATTGAAATAATAAGGTTTATAAGGCCTCTCTTAAACTTTCTTTCTGGCTTCTACAGATGAACAAATTAGAAGTAAAACAAAAATCTGTTTGATTTATGTTCCAATTATTCCATGGCCATTCTCCACCATTTTCTGCACTAAAATTCAATTACAGACACTATTTCAAACTTATTGTCTCCCCTATCTTAAATATCTCTTCTCTCTTGCCTTCTGCCTACGCAGTGGACAAAAAGATTCTCTCCATTCTTTCCTCCTCTGTGAGCCTCTAACACCTATAAAAACTCCTTGTATTTTATGTATCAGCTCATCTATTCTCCTTCATTTATTACCTTTCTCAAATTACTTTCATTAGAGAAAGTTAAAAAAAAATCTAAGTGGAATATTCATGATCACTTGAGATTCAGGAGAAACTATACCAGATTTTTCCATGATAACCACTTATTGGTCTTATACCTCTGCTTTGGTTAGCTGCTCTCGGAGTTTTTCCACTTCTTCCCGAAGATCCCGGATAATACGCGCGTTGGGGTCCTCATTCACCACAGCATGGTTAACAATATTCTTGGCTCGATCAGCATATCTCAGAGTTGAAAGGGTTTCATCATAGTTATCAGCAGCTGGACTCACAGTTGCTACCATGGCTGTCTTGCTGTTTCCACCAAGACTGTCCTACAGGATGAGGGGGGAAATTGAGTAGCATTTTAGAGTTAGAAAATTGAAGTCAGAAATAGTAAGCTCATGGTGCCTGGCTATTAAAAGATATAGCATCTGGAGTCTTGTAGTTAAAGGCTTGTGGTTAAACAAGCAGCCATCTAGCAGGGAAACAACAAAGCCCACATGGAAGAAGCACACCAGCCTGTGTGATCATGAAGTGTCGACAGGAAGAGGTATCAGAAATTCAAAATCAAGAAACCAAATTGAAGTGACGGGGCATGGATGTAATGGAGACCTAAAATCCTCCTGTAAGATAATTGGACAGTCCCTCTCAGAAGGGCCACATGGAAGGGATGATAAATCCAGGGTGCGGTATAGCACTGATGAACCACAACCTGTAGTTCTTTAATATTTCCTCTCCTTACTATTATGGTTTTTATTTTTTTTTACCTCATTAATCATGTTAGATTT